CAACGCTATACTCTGCTTCTTTTAAATTAACAAAATAACGTTATAAACGTTTTTTTTTCTATTTTTTTTAATTTCGCAGAAAACCGAAGTTGTTGCTTTCGAAAAATCGATGAAATCGAATCATGTTATCGAAGTATTTTTAAAAATTTAAAAACCGCATTTGCAGGGTTTGAAGACCAAAAATCATTTCTCAAAAACGCAATATACTATCGAAAAAATTCTTGAACCAAAACACGATCCATACCAAAAAGCTGACGAATTTTTAAAATTTTCAGCAATTTGCAACAATCTAAAAAATGGGTTAATCTTTTAATGAAAATTGGACATAACTAGAAGATTGTATAGCCCACTTAGACAGCTACAATTTTTATAATTAACGTTTTCACAGATTGTACAGTGTGCTCGGGATATTTCGTGCTATATTATAAAATATAGTAGGCATAGTAAATTTGTAGCTACCGACTTCAGATTTGTAGAATTCCACATCCGTTAAAATTTTAGAAACTCGTTGCAATCAAAGGTCTCGAAGTATTTAAAAAAAGATGGTATATTTTGATTTAAAAAAAAATGTTTTCTTTTAAGTAGAGATAGGCTGGAATTTTGGGAATAAAACTTTTTTTTTATACATGTTGTCGATTATATACTGGGTTTGTCAATTATGGAAGAAAATCCATACGACCCTGAAAATTTTTCTTTTCGGGAGTAAATTATAATTTTTATAGTTAGGATTTTCGTCTTATCACACACGCTTCTCGAGATATTTGAAAAAGTCCATGTGAAAGTCGCTATATCTCGTGCTCAGTCTACAGGCGATGACGTCATTTACCATTACGACTTGCTGCATGGTTTTAGAAAACAAGTGTTTTGTCGAAAACCAGTTACTCTAATGAAAAAATTCACATGCCAGGACTCGTAGGAGATCTTTAGTCTTGGCATTTTTTTAAATATGTGCATTGTGTGTGTGTGTGTGTGTAATCTACGAGAAATCTAAAGGATTGCAGTTTTTGTTGGTAAAAGATTAACCGCAAACGAAACATTTGGAAAAGAGGGCATAATTGATTAAAACAGTATCGTAAACTCGGTGTCGAAAGAAAGTGTCAGTTAAGTTTCATGATATAGGGTGATTCAATTCTATTAAACCCATGTAGATATATTTTTTTAATAGCTAACTTTGCATATTCATTTATTCTGGAATTATGAATTTGCTTCCCCATAACATATCATGTCGTATTTGATGCTAAACCCAAGGACCGTACTATAATATTCTTGATCGCGTGATAGAGATTAAACGAAAGGCAGATTGAATTGAACGAAAGCACTCACTCACCTTCTGCCATGTTTGTACTATTGCGGAGAGCTCCTCCTTTTCCTTGAGTTCTAGGTTTATGAGCAAAAGTATAAAAAACAAATTTTATTAAATGAACAGGTAAGTAGCTAGTACCTGTAAGGTTCTTATATAACCACAACTACATTTCTGTCACTATAAAAAGCGAATATGGCGCGTCTAAGTGAACCACACAGAATGGAAATGAGAACTCAAGAAGCACTATGTAATTTATTTAACTCAAACTATCCAGAAAGACCCATTACATCATCCACAGAGAGTAAAATTGCGGGAAAATGTATAGAAACAGGGCATGTCAAAGAAATTATTTAATTAGTTGTTGAAAATGCCTACCATTAACTTCTTGACAAAATGCTAATCAGTTTAAAAACTTTTCCAAAATATTACTAAGGATATTTTCATTAATTTGCCTTATTTCATATCTACTATCCCTGTACACTTTCTGTAAAATCTGTCTCTCTGGCATATCAGGCTGATTTGGATTTGGGAAAGAAAAAATTGTACATATCAGGCTCCAGTAAGATATTGATTGAAGAAATAAACTCCAATTATATTGGTGTTCAAAATTCCTGCCCGAGCATTTATTTTCCGTGGACGTTGTAAATGATTTTCTCTCATTTATCGGGGATTATGTGTACTCCAATACCGACAATTTTGTTTATTTACCGGACCATTTAAATAAATCCTGGCTCCATCACTAAACAGAATCGGATGATGAAAAAATGGATTCAAGTTGCACAGTTTCAGAAAAATGTAACCTTCGGTTGGGAACATTTTTATTCACCTCCTGTATTAATGCATGTATGATGATATTTTTTTTTCATTTAATACACCCAAAGCCGTTCATTATTCGTTTGTAATCGACTAAATAATAAATAAATAACATGTTAAATCTCGTATTCCCATTAGTTTTTGGGCGACCTCTTAGTAGACGATTTTTTAAAAATTTTACTGGTCCTCTTTTTGTCTTCATATTTAATAAAAATTAAAATTTCAATTCTGTGGGATTCATTTACTGATTTTCTTTACTGACAGAAATTTAATGGTGACAATTTCAGAACTTAAATTTTCTATCTTTTGCTCTTTTTGCTCATAAAAAATAAGAGGTATAGGGTATGCTACCTGAATTATGGATGCAATTTCACACAGAATCCGATAATAGATTTAAAAAAATGATGTTCCATTTAAAAAGAGGAACTTGGTATAGACTTCTCTTTTTGACAAACCCTAAATATTTTCTGTATACTATATTATAGGCGTTCATTGTATATATTCGAGAAACTTTGAAAAATTTCTGAAATCACGTTACTGAAACTCATAGTGATTGACCAAATCTATAATGCCATTACGTTTCAATAACCAATAATTCAAACGTTTAGCTGCACGGGTGGCGAAAAAAATTATTTTATATCAGGTTGTTTGTTGCCAAATTTCTTAAAAAGTATTTTTTATCTCCGAAAATGTTCAAGATAGGTACATAAAAATGATTCAGAATGTGTTGCAGAATCTAAAAATGTAATTATATACAGGGTGTTCCATTAAAAAAATAAAGTTTATATACGTTTCGAGTATATCTGGCAACACCGCGTGGCCTAAAAATATTTTACATAGATACCTCATATTCGCTTACATAAGTAACCAACATTTTTGGTTTTTACAGTAAGTTATTCTCTATAAATGTCTAATAGGACACTGGTTTATTAAAACTGAAACAGCAACAGTGTTTTTACGTACCTTAATTAATTTCCCATCATGACGTTGTATTGGAAAATTTTACAATATTAAACAATATGTTACAATTGTAATTTTTGCCATTGAGACTATCTCATGTTGTTTCTGATGTCATATATATGAGTTAATACTATTTTTCGTACCTTAATGTTATGTGCTGTACTGATATCATTCTGTAATGAAGTAAACTTGATGGTGGACTATATACCGAGAGGTAAACGGTATAGAAACGAAATAAAAGGTGTAACAAATTATCCTGGATCAGAGATCGACTCCGATCATAACCCCGCATTTGGAAATCTTGAAATTGAATTGAAACATTCATAATCGAAAGGAAAATCGTATGACTTCTGAATAATGAAAGCCGAATTACAACAAAATAATGATCATTTCCCAATCCACAAATGAATAAAAGAAGCAACTAAAATCAAGACCAATACTCAGCAACAGAGTATTCTAGTCACAGACAATAACAAACAAACTATGGAACTAGAAAAAATCTAATCAATATGGATACACTACATACTAGAATTTTGTGAGCATGACAGAGTAGCTAGAACAAGAACCAAGGAATAGTAATTTTTAAGTCATAGATAAAGCAAGCAATAAAACTGTTAAAAACACGTAAATGACAATATATATGCTGATATGACTATTGTATTTGGAAGCCCTGCTCCTCGCTTACAGCACCAAGATTTTCGGGAAAGTAGTCCAGATGTGAGTGTAAAAAGTGAAGTTTTATGCTCATATTGCATCCCATTTCTATCAACGTCTCTGACATGTTTTCTCCAACGTGTTTCTAATTTGGATATTTTTTATTTCCCAGAAAACCTTTTGAAATGAAGGAAATCCATCAACTTTATCAAAGTCAATCTTTTAGTCAATAGCCTTTATCTTCTATTAACAGCCTTATTTGTAAAATTGTAGTCTGTACCAAGTTTCTTTATTAGATTAGAAATATCGGTGCAAAAAACAATTCCAGATAGGCTATAAATTCTGTCTCGCGCTTCTGGAAGCATGGGATTTTAAAGTCATGTGCCAGTAAATTTTTATTTCGAAGTCTAGATGCTAAAATTTCGGAAAGATCCTTAAGTAAACCTAAATCTCTTACTAAGTCATTAAGTTCTGATTGTAAAAATAACTGTGGTTGATGAGAAACGCCATAAATTACCACCATCACTGAGGGTATCTTCATCTATTTCAGTTTCAAAAAAACTAGTGGTATCTTCTTCTAAATTGGTTGGATTCTCAGGTATTGGTATATATGGATCATGTGGCACTGGCCTAATTGCAGATTTGAGGTTCGGATAATCAATGGTTTTCAAATTTTTATCATTATATCCACGAACATGCAGAAATAGCAACCATTCTGGTGATTTGTTGGCTCTCTCCATATCATACATATTCTAAAGGGTAGGGATCGCCTGACTCTATTATTCCAATGACTTTAACCTTCTTCATATCCCTTACAAACAATATGTGGCTCCCAAGGTTTATCTTGATCGCCAATTTTAAAATAAGAGAAGTATTGTTTTTTAAACAGGGGTGTAATTTTTCGTCTAAATTTCTCGACCACCAAAGAACCACACACAGAGTAAAATATTTTTCCGTTTTCTTGGCATTTTAAAGAATTATTTAACTGCACAATGCTCACTAACTCCACGAAACGACTCCCTACAACAAACGCAATTACACGATAAACTATAAATTTGCGAATCTCAGAAACCGTAGCAATTACAACTTTTTAGAATGTTAGGTAATGTTTACTATATAACAATAAATATAACATTTCAAAAATTAATTTAACGATATTGCGTGATAAAAACAAAGCATTGTTTTTCTATTAGTTTAGTACTCCAAAAATCAAAAAATTTTGGTTGGTCTCGGTTATCAAATCGCGCAAAATGAAAATTAAATTTTTTAGGTGGCTCATAGATTCTTCATACGATCCGTACGAGCAACTTGCCTGGCTTGTAAAAACGCTGAAGGAAGCGGAAGACAATAACGAAAGCGTGCACATATTGTCTCACATACCAAGCGGCAACGGCGCCGTCTTAAAAGTATGGAGTCGGGAATACAACAGGATAGTGGAAAGGTAGCAAGCGGGGATACTTATTATTTGTTGCCATTCAGTTAAGGCCGACTTTCTTCAACTTTCGACACTAACTTAACGGAGTTAGTAAACTGTTTGTCCTTTTTGACTCACAAACGGAACTTTTCTCGACAACAGCGCTCGGCGAATTTGAAATAGTTTCTGCGACATGTTTTGCGTCTATGAAAAGTCCATAAACTGGCTTTTCCTTTCTCGTCTGTAATTTTAGAAGTCTTGCGATCACTAGGGTATGAAAACTGATTTGCGGCACTGCTAGTTAATATATCTGGACGTTCTTTTTTATTTTTTTTTTAAACTTTCACAGGCTACTTATTAATTCAAAGTTTGAACGTTTTGAAATTTATGGTCAGAACAAGCTAGAATGTTAATTTATCAGTTTATCAAATTCTTTTTAATTCTAAACTTCTGATCTAAACTTCTACATGCTCCGCTAATGTTCCTATCAGATTGGCAATAAATTACAAATAAGTTCATAATTCCTTAATTTTTGAAATGATTTTGCTTCATTTTTCTTTTAAAGCTTCACAAATACTTAGTGCGAATGTCAATAGTCAGTCAATCAAGACAAAAGATTGCTTCAAGATTTGTCAATTAGACAATTAGACAAATCTTTATTTTCATCGTCTTTTCATAAAGTTTACTGATAATGAGATAATGTCAATTAAATCTTTGTAAATATCCACATAAAAATATAAAAACACAAGCAATTTAACAAGTTTACAAAAAAATATATTATATTGCAATGTTCAAGTGCAATGTGCAATCAAGAGCTATTATAGCATAGTAGGCATTTTTTACTAAATTGTTGTTTTGATATTCTTTTAAATGCACTACTTTTTTGTAGTTTTTAATCTCAGTAGTCAGTTTATTATAGAATTTAACTGATAGCACTCTCGGTGTATTTGGTATTTTGGCCAGCATGTGTCTAGGCAAGATCAAATTAAAATTTACTAGAAAGCTAAAAAGTTTTTGATTTATTTAAAACCAATCTATTTTCATTGCAAAAAGTTATCAAAGAAAATTATGAATAAGAGCCTCCTCAATATGCTTCCTTGAGGTACGCCATTGTTAACTCAAGCATAGTATGACCTAACCGAGATATCGTTATTTTTTAAATTGGTTTTTTGTTCTCTGCTAGTGAAGTATGATTTTATCCAACAATAAGTAATTCCATGCATCCCGCCTTCGTAGAATTTATCGAGCATTGATTCTAATACTTATCACATTAATAGCTTTGATCAATAACAACAAGGTGAACAAGGTGAAAATTTAAATTCATAATTTTATTAGATTATTATAATTGAATCGGATGCTAAAAGAGTGCGAAAGACTTGGAAAGAAAAATTAAATGAAAATGAGGTTTAACGAAGCTCATCTTGTCTATGCGCAAAACTTTCTTCGAAGTGGCTATGTTGAATGTTACATTTCAAAGACGGCGAGAGATGGGTATGGGGAAACTTGAATAAAATATACAGGAATGTACATGGCGTGCTATTAAAATAACAAATAAACTGTGTTTCTAAAATTCCCTTACAAAATCTTATTTTGCAACACTCTGTGTTTTACATCTAAAATGGTATGCCAGGAAAGAATGCGCGAGCCTTTCCACGGACTGCCTGGAAAAGTTTGATTTTTAAATAGCTTCATAATCTATGAAATTATTTTACATTTCAAAATGTTGGCACGTTTCTATAGAAGCGAGAACACTGCATACTTCAATATATTTTAGACCAATAGAGCACCTCTTTTTATATCACCCTGTAAAATTTAAAATAAATCCTTTGGTCCCCTCACGAGATACCCTCAATATATGCCAACCGGTGTAGTATTACGTAACCTTTTTATCATGAAACATTATACAAAAATACGTTATACTAGAAGTTAATTATTTTTACTATGTTTTACATTTTTCTGAAACAGTGAACAATTTATTAACTTTATTTCAATACATTTTTTATCTATATTATTGTTTATCGGTGGATATAAAATAATATAGCTTCACAAAATGTAATTGATATGTATTACACAACTTCCAGTTACGTAATACTGTACAACGAAATTCTTTAACAATAAATATTGGTTGTTGGTCCTTAATAGTAAATTGAAGTCATTAACGGATAGAAATAGATATAAGCCCTGGCAAATACGCTTATTCTGTCCTAGAGTGACGACTTCTGAATATTTAATTTCATTTACTAATGAACTGCGGAGTACTCAGTGTATCTTGCATTTTATTAGTGACTTAAACGAAATGTACGAGGGTAGGTGAACTAATTGCGACACAAAGCATGAACTTTTGCCTGTCAACCTTTACTATTTTTCTATTTAACTAACTATAGCGTTACTGGATCTTAAAACCACAAAGAATTTAAATAGAAATTAATTTTTAAATGTGCATGCATTTGTTGCCAGAAATTTCCGTTTCCAGTTTTTCCGTTTTTAACTACAAAAAACAGCAAAGCTATGTATTAAAAACTTATGCTTTTTAAAATTTCACTGAAAGTACGGGATGAAGTACTCATCCAAATACTAAAAGCGCAAAGACGGAATCAATTTGTGAGACTTCAATAAATCCCCCAGTTGTCCAAGAGACTTGGAGTCACAAAAATTAAGATTTGTTGATAAACGAAAACGAGATTTCAAAAATTTGATATAGATCTATAAAATATTATATTTCGCCCACATAGGCATCCACACCTCTTTTTGACACAAACGATAACTGTCACAGCGAGAATACATTTAATACCTTTCAATTTTAAATAAAAGACTAATGTTTATGTTAAAAAAAATATAAATTTAGAATACGCGAAACGTGGCAACGTGGTAGCATATTTCATTTTACGTCTATTGAATATGAAAAGTATTTCAAAGCCTCTCGCTATGCCAAAAAATGAAGAAAAACGCCTCCACACAAAACGTCGCATGACAGATCTTGAACTCGTCTTGACACGCACTCTGTGAGTGTGTATCAATATACCGGGTGTTCCGAAATTAGTGGGGGAACGAGTTTTTTATTATTATTTGCGAAATAGGTTGAGAGAATGTTTTCAAATTGAAGCGTTTTAGTAATTTTCGCATGTCGAATCTAATTCTAAAATTGTATATGTCAAGTTTTGGTCAGGCGCGTAACTTTTAAGGAGTACAGATAATATAAACTGGAACAGCCATCATTATTATCAATTATTTAACGGATTCAAGTCAGGCAACCGAGTCGGCCTCCATTACTCCAGAAATGCGAGTATTTATCTCTTGACTTGTCACATCATAAAATTTTGTCCAAAACATCTTGATGGTTGAGGATCGACTGGCAAAATTCTGAACAATTTGGAAAGTCTCCGTCTTAAATTATGTAGTTTTAGAGAATGCCGATAATGTCCTGGCATCAAGGTAATTCTACCATGCTGAATAATAAATATCTATTTCACAAATCTTCAAAATATAGGTAAAACTTTTTTGTTGTCATCGTTTATTTCACTTGTTAATGCTACTTGATGATTTTCCTCAATTCTGTTAGATTTATATGTATCTTGGATAATACTCTCCGATGTGGTTGTCGTCTTTGTGGAAAATCAATATCTGCTAATTATCTGTTCGAAAAATGCCCCGCCACAAAAAAATTTACAAAAACTTCAGCTACAATGTGAGCAAAAACATCATGAATGTCAAACGGGTAACAAAATAACAATCTTATATATTAGGTGGCCAAATATTGGCGCCCCTGTACATTTTATAGCAACATTGTAATAAATTTTTTTGAAGGGGCTGTATGATTAACTCATGTGCCGAGTTTGAATAATTTTAGTAAGCCAATCTTCAGTTATTGAATTAAATGTGATGGCAAAATTGCAAACGGTCAACATAACAAACCCCAGCGAATATTTTCTATGACGCTATTTCCAAAATTTGACGAAATCAAGCTGGACAATAACATATCAAATAAAGGTTGGTTTACACAACAACTTCTTCTAGGTGCGGGTTCAATTTTATTTTGTAATAAGATCAAATTGCTTTCTGTTTTGATGTTATGGTTGATAAAAATAGGCCCATATTATGACGTCCGCAAATTTCCACCATAACATTCATTTTTTGGCTTCCAATTTGAACAAAACGATATTCATTGTTTTGGCTCCACTACCGACGGTTTTTGAATATTTGCTTTGTTGTTGTGTTTTTTTAATGTGCGCAACACTGTGGTTTGCTCTTTATTTTCAGCTGATGAAAGAATCTTCGTACTAATCATTTTATTTTCTTTCACATGCAGTTCAAGTCTCTATTGTCCCTTTCTTCTACTCTATTATCGACATTTTTAAATGAACATTTATACGGTGCCTTTGGACTCGAATACCGCTTGAATATGATTACTTTTTCTTCAATTGAATAACACTTATTTAGCTTTAATTAAAGCGCATATACATACAATCACAAATAAAAATATTGTTGCTGGTAGGAATTTTCGTATCAATTTTCGTGTCAAAATGTATTTAAATTATTAAAAATTTCTAATTTTCCCATCATATTTAATTCAATAATTGAAGATTTGGGTTATTACAATTTAATCAAACTGGGCACGAAAAGTTATATTACAACTTTTATAAATAAGAGCCATAAGTCAATACGATAGAAATACAATACGACTTTTACAGTAAGCTAAATTAAATGGATAGTGGGATACGTGGGACTACGCAGTACTCTTTCTCTTATATTTCTTTCCGCGTTTACTTCAGTTGAAATCATCGAAAATTGCCTCTGAAACCGAGTTTGGGATTTGATGATAAAACGGCCGATTATCAATTAGTCAGCGGCATACTCTGCGGTTTGCACGCAACACTAATGGGCGGCATTTCAGATTCGCGAACACAATAACCGGACAATTTAATGGACACACCCACAGGGATCAATTTATGGTCCACTATAATACTTCGCAACCCGAGCAAGTCATAAACGTAGCCTGGAACGGGGCTTCGATAACAACATTCGATAACGCCAATCCCAGTTTCAAAGTGTATTCGACTGACAGTTCTACGTTGGTAAGCGAAATCCAATTTCGAAATACGCTTCATCAATTATACACGAACATGTAGGAGCTTCTCGACGCAGAGGAATGGACCTTTAACTTGACAAAGGCAAATTTAAATCCGGAAGCGAGTCCGGAATGGTACAAATTGTATTCGTTTAAAGATGCCTTCGGTGTTGATAATCTAGGTCCCGATGAGATTGGGAATTTATTGGTCCGAATGACCAAAGATCACTCCCTCATAAACAACTATCACGTGTAAGTAAGCATCTGTGTACTGCAGGGTACGCCGTGCTTTGCCTACAGTTTTAGGAGTCGCAACGCTGATCCGTCCGTAGCTGTGGAATGCGACAGCAAATGCCAAAAGAAGTATTTGTGTGAAATCTCCGTAAGCGAAGTCGGGGACAGATCTCACTGCGAAAGGCTGGAGGAGCTATACGATCAGAACAACTGATTTTACACTCTAGGATTTTGATTCGTTGTTCATTTTACATTTGTTTGAAAAGTCTATTTCTGGATATCTTACATTTTTGAGGACTCTAGTGAATTATTTTCCCACGAAAATATTAATTAAATTAGTTTTCATTATTTATTTGTGTATTTATTTTAACACTCCTTTTTCCTAGTTTCGCTTCAATATCTCCAGCATTGAAATCCTTTGCCAATCAAATTATTATACATTGATGAAACACCAAGATCACAAAGGGTCAGATGAATAATTCGACACAAGCAACACAAGGTGAGGTTCAAAATTCAATTAAAATGTAACTTCAAAGTTACTTTAATCTCAAAATTAAAATTCTAGAAACATTTGTCAAGGAGCCATTTCGTCCTGAACGTTTAAACTCCCCTCGTTTTTACTATGACTTTGAGTAACATTCTAACTCTAAAATTCTAATTGCAGAAAAGCAGACGTATGAATGAGAACACACAGGTGTTCTATGCACTTCGTGTAAGCATAGCCATATCTTCTGCATGAAGTTCTGTTTGGTTGCAGACAAAAAATATAAAGAAGGTAATGTTAAAATACAGAGTTGAGCAAAGTATGGTCTGAGTGAGGCTCTAAAAGATATGTAATCTGTTTTTGCGTCCTCAATAATTTAATTGTGTGAGTAGCGGAGCCCCAGGAGATCAAGTTATAAAGTAATATTTAATTTCAACCAAACGCTTTCTAGCCTGTATTTCGCGCACCCTGTTTGACAGACGAACAGTAAAGGCATAAATTGTAGCTCTCGAGGCAGCCTAAAAGGGCATTAAAACCAAGCGATGCCGTTTGTCACTGTTTGTCAGTTACGACCTACTATTTACTTCGGAAAATAACAATTTTCCGTTTTTTACTCATAACCACGACACCTGCATTTTTTTTTAGTCAGCTTGCCATGAACCTCACTCGTCTTGTGGTTTAAGAATTTTGTCGATCCGACATACGGTTTTCGGGAAAACATTTTTTTTCAATTTTTCAATTTTGTTTTATTCTTCGGAACTTCCAATCTCGCCCGGTTTCAATCGGTTCCATCTGGGCATGTAACTCTAAATTCCTGCCGTATTTCAACTCAATAGCTCAAAATCTCGAAAACTTACTTCCTGAAAATCCGTTAAGGAAAACAGACATACTTTTTCGAAATTCGATTTCATCCGTTTCGTGGATGGAATGCAGAGAGAGAGATATGGCAGTGATCACGAAAGATAACATAAATCAGCTCATTATGGGCAAAAGCGTGGTCTTTCTGCATTGGTGTAAAAAATGTGTTTGTGAAACTTAAATCCATTAGATATAATTTAGAGCCCATTGATTCACAATCACGTGTCCTTCCTGTGTTATTAATTTATTTATTATTAAGATTTAAATTTCATAAATATATTTTTTCCATTGTTATATTTTCAATCGAACGACCAGTCCATTTTGGCCAATACGATGATGGTAACATCAAGTTAGGTCGAAATTGTTCGTATCAAATAAATATCTATTCAAATAAATACTTACCCCCTTTTTAAAGGATGATCATCAATAAATGTTTGTTTCATACACATAAACTTGTTTCTTGAAATCTCACAAGTATTATTTAAGTGAAATACATATTTATTGGTTTTTAAGAATTGTTGGTTTCTTAAGAATATGTAATTTATGTTGTTATTTGGATGAAACACATTTAGTTTACTTCAGTTTTTTTATTTGGACCGAGGATTTGATCATTTAATATAAATATACCGTTCTGCTCAAAGTGTCGGTATTTTATAGTTTATAAATCCGCAATAAAAGTTAAAACGTATAAATTCTATTAATAACAAAGTACATTAGATTAATTTGTAATATCTTATGGAATAAGCAATGTATTCAGTTATTGTTGGTTTCTTAAGAATATATAATTTATGCTGTTATTTAGATGAAATGCATTTAGTTTACTTCAGTTTTTTTATTTGGACCGAGGATTTGATCATTTAATATAAGTATACAGTTCTGCTCAAAGTGTCGGTATTTTATGGTTTCTAAATCCGCAATAAAAGTTAAAACGTATAAATCCTATTAATAACAAAGTACATTATATTAATTTGTAATATATTATGGAATAAGCAATGTATTCAGTTATTGTTGGTTTCTTAAGAATATGTAATTTATGCTGTTATTTAGATGAAACACATTTAGTTTACTTCAGTTTTTTATTTGGACCGAGGATTTAATCAGTTAATGTAAATATACAGTTCTGCTCAAAGCGTCGGTATTTTATGGTTTCTAAATCCGCAATAAAAGTTAAAACGTATAAATCCTATTAATAACAAAGTACATTATATTAATTTGTAATATATTATGGAATAAGCAATGTATTCAGTTATTGTTGGTTTCTTAAGAATATGTAATTTATGTTGTTATTTGGATGAAACACATTTAGTTTACTTCAGTTTTTTATTTGGACCGAGGATTTGATCATTTAATGTAAATATACAGTTCTGCTCAAAGTGTCGGTATTTTATGGTTTTCAAATCCGCAGTAAAAGTTAAAACGTATAAATTCTATTAATAACAAAGTACATTAGATTAATTTGTAATATCTTATGGAACAAGCAATGTATTCCGTTATTGTTGGTTTCTTAAGAATATGTAATTTATGCTGTTATTTAGATGAAACACATTTAGTTTACTTCAGTTTTTTTATTTGGACCGAGGATTTGATCATTTAATATAAATATACAGTTGTGCTCAATGTGTCGGTATTTTATGGTTTCTAAATCCGCAATAAAAGTTAAAACGTATAAATTCTATTAATAACAAAGTACATTATATTAATTTGTAATATCTTATGGAATAAGCAATGTATTCAGTTATTGTTGGTTTCTTAAGAATATGTAATTTATGCTGTTATTTGGATGAAACACATTTAGTTTACTTCAGTTTTTTTATTTGGACCGAGGATTTGATCATTTAATATAAATATACAGTTCTGCTCAAAGTGTTGGTATTTTATGGTTTCTAAATCCGCAATAAAAGTTAAAATGTATAAATTCTATTAATAACAAAGTACATTAGATTAATTTGTAATATCTTATGGAATAAGCAATATGTTCAGTTGAAATTTAGCAAATGCTTAATAAATAACTCTTTATTAATAATAAACTGAAACCTGAAAAACTAGAAAATGAACTTGTTAACAACTTTGATAGGTAACTTTTTTAAGACAATGCAGTATTTATATTGTAATAATAATAATGTAAAGATAGTTTTGGTTATAATGTTCCGAAATAAGTTTAATTGTTGTAAAAAAAACATAAACCAAAAAAAAGACCCCATTGTATTATGGCAAGCCATGTTAGAGGAGTGGGGGGGGGGGGTCCTTGCGGTATAACTGATTGAGCTATTTGTATTTAAATCTATTTTATTTGCTTTTAATAAATATAATTAAATCAAATAAACGGTTGTTTAATATAATGGACTAAGCCAATCCCATTATTTTCTTATTTGGTTGAAATAAGCAATTACTTAACATAACTAGAAATACAATAAAAATTCAAACCAATGATTGAAAATATTTGAATACATACAATTAATTCTTTAATACCAGCAAAAAATTTTGTTCAAAGGAAATAAAAAAGTTTCAAATAAATATTAGTTGGGATAAATTTTTCAGTCTAAGCTTCATAAAATTTAATTATACATTTGTTGTAACAAACAATTAATTGTTGGTGATTTTTGTTGTGTTTCCATTTCAGATTTTTGGCATAACTTCTTTACAGTTTATATTTAAACAATACTGTTAACCTTTATGGAAATACTTACCAGTTTTCCTATTAAATACTTTCGGCACTTATTTACTTGAGGAAGTGACGCTCTTCATAAGCAGTAAAAACCTTCCCGTTTCGTTACAGTATTAGTATCTGAAATATTTTAGGCAAGTAGATATAAAATGTGCTAATTCAAGTTGCTCAGGTGTTATTTAAGTTATAGCGTTACTAATTTTTCAAAGAAACTTCCACAGGCTACTGTGTGAAGCCAACTGGATCATTGGCTAAACGTCAGCAAGTTCGACTCAGCAAAAACCGACGCAGGAGGAATCCAGAAGTTTTGTAAAAATTCTTATAGCGTTACTGTTTTAAATATTATTTTATTTGTAGAAATTTTTTTCTATACTTTTTATATAACATTGAAATCACTAAAATTTGGAACTGAGGTGGGTTTTACTTGATGAAAATCCATTTAGCACGTTAAATGATGACACAAAGTTTATTTGCTCTATGATACTGTGGTGTCGAAAGTAGAAATGAGAATTTACTCAAAAGATTACCATGTATTTTAACTGGAGTGTACTTAATCTCATAGTTACATAGTCCAAATATTTTGTCCATAACTAAACTGAACATTGATCCAAATCGACCGTCCATTTTACTAATTTACTTACTAATTACTAATTACTAATTAATTATATACAAATATAGAACATCAAATGGAAATATTTGACAACAAGCCTTTTCCCGCTTTCAACCGGTGTCGAGTGCATTCGGATCAAAGTACTAACTGCAAAACGCATTATCTAAACCGAGAGTAATGACATTACTTCTTCAATATGGCGAAACACTCCTTCACTGGAATTATAATTATTTGCATGGAAAATGTATTGAGTTAAAAAGCATCATCACTCATTATGATGTGACGTTAAAATATGCAGAGCGTTTCATATACAATCAACAGTTTACGAGGGCTTCGTTTTCGATATACTTTGTGTTATAAATTAAAAATTTCTAATTTAAATTGTCGCGAATTATCTTAGTCCATCGATGAATTCCTACAGCGGATCAAAAGTTTTCTTCTTGGTTTTGTTATACCGAAACAAGTCGGCTTATTAAGGTACAACTTTTCCTGTAGAAAATTTCGCCCTTCCGGATTACCTGTACGCTTTTATTTCGCCGAAAGCTTTTGAAATCAATTTTGAAACTTTTGTAGGACGATATTTCCGACCATCAAAGGAATGCCAAAAATCGTTGAATAGAATGAATTTAGGGAACCAGGCGAATGGACGTCGTTTGTTTAAGCCGTGAAGTGAATACAGATGAGTGAATAACGTTTT